TATATATATATATATATATATATATGTATATAGATAGATAAAGATTTCAATAAAACATTACTAAAAATATTGCATTAAACTGCTATCAATACGAAACTTTTTTGGAGTGTAACGTAACGATTCATTGTAGATAAGGATGGCATAAAAAATTTATTTATGTAGTTTCTTTAGTGGCCAATCTGAATGGTTCAGTATTGTTGCGATTACTATAATCACGATCGCCGCTACGTTTGCATAGCATTTCAAGTAGTGCTTTGCTAAAGTTGACCATTAGTTTGATTTATCGATTAATTGATCAACTTGTCCAGTAATTTCTTCTTATTATCCTTGCAAGTACGCATATTATTCCACAATTACTGATAATAATGACAATCACAGTGATAACATAATAATAGTGGTGAGAGAAAGAAACGTACTAATTGATATAAACTAAACTTGTTGTTGGTATAAATATAAATACAAATGATGCAAGAAATGAAACTAATAACAAATGTATAATCGTTTTTTGTTGCGTACGTATTATTATTATTGCGGCGTATTATTATTATTATAAATATTAATAAAGTTTCAGTACAAATCGTACCATACATCATCAGTACCAACGATAAATTCGACTGAATCGTACCAACTTTCTTACAGCACTATAATATATACCTCATTGCATTTAATAATAATAATAATAATACCATTATTAATAATAACATTATGTCTTCGCCATCTAACACTCAACAGCCAGTGGATTCACATCTCGATACAACCATTAACAATAATGATAATAACCGTGAAGATGATCATTCTAATACTTATTCACAATTCGTAAGTATATTCAATTCGTATAATTACAATAATTTTAATTTTGTAAAATATCAATATTTGGAGCTAACAACGTTTAGTCAATATAACATTAAAATAATAAAGTCCAATGATAAATAAAATAATATCAATAGTGAAAACAAATATAATAATAAACATAATAATAATAATAACAATAATGATAATAATAATAACGAATTACACTGATCCAATATCTTTCAGGTTGGTCTATTATTTATATTCAATTTAATCGTTGGTACTGGAGCGTTAGCTTTACCTAAAGCATTCCAGTCTGCTGGTTATGTTCTCAGTATTTTAGTTACGGCTGTATCATGCCTTGTCAGGTGAATACATAAATAGTAAATAATAATAATAATAATAATAATAATAATAATAATAATAGCAATAATAATAATAATAATAATACTAACAATAATAATAGTAACAATAATAATAATAATAATAGTAACAATAATAATAATCATAAAAAATAACAGTGACAATGATAAGTGATAATTAATAATAACACTGATAATTAATAATAACAAATAATCATTATAATGATAGTTATAAATATTAGCAAAATTCGTTCGGCAATTCTAACAGTGGTCCTAGGGCGGGGCTTAATACCCATCCGATAAATGTGTTCTTCAAGAGGATGGAAGAGATAGTAGGCCCCGCCCACTGAGCAAGCTGTCGAACGCACTAACGATCTTAAATGCTGCATGCTATTAAAATGCGCAACACCTCTGAAATGTTGAATAAAAACAACAATAATAAGAACACTTTCATGACAGTTACATGTGTGCGACGTTCATCCTTGAAACGATGGCGATAGCGAATGCAGTTAAAGTGCGTAACACGAGACGACTAGGCCTAGAAGGGCGAACACCGTCACCGGCATCATCAGACCATGATAACTTTCAGATAAGACAACGCATTGAAGTGGTTAATTAATTCACTGACCATTTCGTTATCAACATCTTTATCGATATCTCATCATTATACACTCGATCCCTGCACATTTGTATCTTTTGGTATTTAAGTCCATTCGGACAACGTAAATAATTTGTTGAATTTTGTGAACGATAGCCATACATAGCATACTGATGGGGATGAGGAGTTGAATGAAGTAGAGCAAAGCAACTGATTTAGCACTGAAATGGAATGAAAAAATATAATCGATGGTATTGTTTTGCTTTCAAAACGATGTTGACTGGGTTCAGTGAGTGAATGAACACATTTTGAGGCAGAACCTGATCACTGTATGTTCAACGAGACAACTAAACTGCTCAAGTATCTTTTTCTCGCGCGATTACACCACTCACTTTTAGACCTTTTTGCAATGCTGTCTAAGTGGAGCCTAAACGACTCGATTTTATTTTCTAGTATAATCACGCATTGCAAACATACCCTCATCGGATATGAGAAGATAAGATTGCAATATCCACTGCACCAAACACTGTTCAATAACTGATCAATCAGTCAGGTTTTTATAACTCACGGAACCCAAATCAGTCAAATTCAAATCTACAGTTAATAATCAATCAAAAGAATAAATGCCCAATCAATTCCGTCTTACAACCATCGTTTCAATTTCAGACTGAAATGGCAAGCATGTTTCTGGGTCGTTGGGGTCTAATCGCTTCATACGTAACATTGACAGTCTATTTGTTCGGTGATTTAGCCATCTACTCAAGCACTGTACCAAAATCAATCATGAATATCATTTGGTACGTAAAGCATTATTGCTGTCACATTAATCACCACCATTAATTATCATTACAGCTCAACTGTGAACAGCACTGATATTTGGCCATCAACACGATGGTACGATGAATGTCGGCATGGATGGCCAAGTGTGGTGAACACAAGAATAAGCATTTACCGTATTAGTGTATTACTGTTCGTTACTTTAATCACTCCACTCGTTGTTGTTGGTATAACTCGAACAAAATATCTGCAACTATCCACATCATTTTGTCGATGGACTGGTTAGCTCATTCTCTTATCGTCACCTTATTAATTTCGTTCTTGCGAAAATATTTGCTTGCTAAGTGATTTATCAATAAGATATTCGGACAATCGCTATCGCTGACAAACATCGTTGTCGAGCCTCGAGCAGGCATCGTTGACAATTGAACAGAGCAGATGACAGTAATAAGTGAGGTTTTAGCATTTGCACTGATGATCTGTTTGGCAGTGATCTCGTTGATACGAGATGGCCCAGAGGGTGCGCCGCCGGCCGTGCACTTCAGTGGGTTCGGTTCGTTGTTCGGCACGACAGTATATGCATTTATGTGTCAACATAGTTTACCAGCAATTGTCACACCAATCGAGTAGCTATTCATTTATTCATTCGTCAATTTCAATTATTTGAAGAAGCGTTCAATCTCATGACTATCCTGATATTCACTAATAATGCATGTCGTCGATGGGTAGCAGTTTCACAACATTTTGCTCGGGGTCCCTCCGGGATGAAATTCTGCCCACGGGAACTTTCTGCTCAATTCGCTTTTCAACTTTTATCACGTCTCCTCTCGGCCAATTCGCTCCCCGACAAGGTCTTTCGCAGCCGAAAAGTTGCTCCCCGACGAACACTTTGTATAGATATATATTCAAAACCGAAGATCCACTCAATTTTAGTAAATGCACTCAAAATTCTGGTAAATGAAGAGTGGCATGTTTGCTATTTCAGCGACAAGAAACGAATATCTCAAGGACTATTCGGCATCTATTTGTGCGTGCTAGCCTTCTATGTGGCCTTATCATTGACAGGTGTATTCGCATTTGGAATCGTCTTTGACGTCTATACGCTCAACTTTTTGCATGATGAGACGAGTGAAGAATCGATCTTCTACGCGATACTCAACCATTTTTTGGCTCTATTTCCAGTCTTTACGTTGAGCACAAATTATCCGATTGTTGCCACAACACTACACAACAACTTGCACGTGCTGTACGAGTTGATTCGGAATGCTTTTGTGCAACTTTCAGCATCACAGTTAGTATTAATCACGAATAATTCAATGGTCTATCCTCTCATCAGTATTGCCTATCACGCACTTTTTTATAGTGATGGCGACGACCAGGGGCCGCTTCTTGACAATGAACAACCAATAGCACAATTAGCATCGCAACAACCAGATGATGACAACACTGATACTCAACCATCAACAACTCACTCCAACACATTAATTCGCGTTATAATCCTATCTCGTCAGTACCCTCTCGTCTTATACTCCACCAATAATTCATGATCACCTACCAGATCTAGAGACACAATTGAATCAAATCAAATTGCAGTAGTGATCATAATACCAACATTAATCGCACTCTTAACCGATAACGTTCTACTGCTAGCATCGCTAACAGGCAGTTATCCTGGTGTGGGTGTTCAGTTCGTTATACCATCCTTATTAGTCATTTATGCACGACGGTTTGTCATTTTCTTTTTCTTTCATCGTTTACATATGTACATGCAGTTGATCATTAAATAATCAGATGACTGATTGTTGAAGCATTTCGACCCAATCAATATTACATATACAAAAATCAGCCAGCCTTTCATGAAATACCTCCCAGTTATTTGAATGATTACCCATTTGATGTTTGAAATTGACTGCAAGGTTTACATTGTCAGCTAGTCAAAGCAACAATGATCTGTGATTGAGACTACTATTCATCAGTCACTGTGTGCACTAAAGTTTCACCGTTGACCAATAAAAAAATTCAACCGTATAGAGGCGAATATAACTTGATAAAACTTTTTGAACGTTACGAAATTCAAACGTTTTTTAAAAAAATCAGCTAAAATCCCCCTGAATATTTCTGGATTCTGTTGCAAAATCCTAAATTGATGAAATTTACGTATTTCTTCAGATGCTGTAAACGTGAACTGGGCATAGATGTTCCTCGACGTTCATCAAGTCCTTTCGCAGCCAACCTTTGGCCATGGCTTATGTTCGTCTGGGCTGCATTCACCACGCTAATGGTCACGCTCAATTTTTATTGTCTATGATCAATCGCAATCAAACTTTTTGCTTTTAACACCCGTTTGATTCTCTCATCTACGATTTCTCTCACACATTTATCAATGAATCAAATTATATTCACAAATTATATTCTGTAATGCATTATAAACAATCGTGACCGGACAATCCGACTAAAGACGTTTTGCCAAAGGACAGTTTACCTAACGGACAGTTTTTTAATGGATGTTTTGCCTGATAAGCAAACTTTCCTTATTGTTAGGCAAAACGTCTTTAGGCAGATTGTTCGGGTATCATAAACAATACACAATAACCTCAGTTTAATCCAAGCCAGAAACTCGTCTCTCTTTTCTCAAATATGCACATACAACCAACCAAAACTTAAACAACTGACTGACTGCAACGTCATTGGTTAGTTCAAGCAATAAATAGAATGTACATTTTATTTCATTTTATACTGAATTAAATTAAAATTATATTCCATAGGCATAGTCATAATAATAACAACAATACCATAAATTTACTTTCACAAATATACAGTTTTAAAATGGTCACTTATAAAGTCGCAGCAGCGTTTCTGAGTGCCTCTCCAATATGGATTGACTGACTTCAACAATTGAATTTAAAATCAATGCACTCTCAATAAATTTATAAATGCGAAAACAACAAAACAATCAGATACCCTGAACAAAAACCGGTGGATTTTTGCTAAGATCCATACGAAGAAGAATCGAAGATGCTGCAGTTGAGGAAGAAGGAGGATGAGAAGAGGACAATGATGAAGAATAAGAATTGTATGGTAATGATATCAAATGATGATTAAATAACGATGGCGACCGATGACTACCGCTCACTGCACATTCATTTGGTGAGGAGGAGAGACGGCATTGAGAACAGCAACCATAACAACAGCACGAAGATGAGGACGATGACGTGGACGGTAGTCGTGGTGGTGGTTCTGGGGGGGCAAAACTGGGAGGTGGATGATGATAACAGTCTTGGTCGAATCGGTTTGCCAACGACAGCGATGATGAGACGAGAAAATTGCTTTGATCCGTCGGCAAATATAAAACATTCATATTAGCTGCACTATTCATGGTGTTTTGAGTCGCTGGTAACAAAGAGTGATAATTGATTTTGTTATCATTATTCGCTGACTGATCACACATCTGATCGTATGCTATTGTTGCATAATCGTATAAACCTGAACACGGCCACTATTCAATAACAAATAACATATAAAGCATTACTCACATAGTGGCGCCCGCCTTTTAGGACCAGTGTTCATCAGAGAACGGGATCCCTGACAGTAAGCAATTCCCCGACAGTTTTATTCTCTGACTTTTCAGTTGGGGTCCCTTCTCCAGATGACTTCCTCCCCATGGATGACCCCCCTTCCCAGCCAATTCACTCCTTGACTTATTGAGAGGCAGCTTACATTCACGGGGATGGAATTTTATACGCTAAGAATAGATTTGTGAGGGTTTTAAATTCCGGGGAGTGGAACAACAGATTGTTTCAAACCCATCAACAGAGAAGCGAGGTTCTTTAGCCCTGATGCTGAAATACAGATGGAAATCGCTAGAGATGGGTTTTTGGACATTGCGGCGATAAGCGCAGTTGACGATCCACAATGAGAGAATGTTGTCTGCAGACGCAAGAGGGTAGAATTTTGTTTGGTGATCCAACGGTATAGTGTAAAATTTGCGAATGTGGTCCAAAAAGTTTCCCGAAACGAATTTCGATCCGAGCCTACGAATCTTGGTATGGTCTGTCTGAGCGTTGCCGTCTTCACCATTTTCATTGAAAGCCATAGTACACCGCCATTCAATCACGTTTTCGTTCTCCGTTCGGAAATGCTCATCGAGAAGTGAAATTTCTTCCAATTAAGTTGAATTGCTCTCCGTCCTACCCAACAGTGGTTCCCCGATGCAGTCATTCTTTGACGAATTCCCTCCAAAATTTCGCTCCCCGACTTGTTTGTCGAGTTCCCCCGAACGAATGCATTGCCGTGGCATTTCTTCAACTAGCCTTTTTTGTTGAGGGACATTTACTGGTCAACTACCCCTAAAGTCTGTCAACTGTCTTCCTCACAATACACAATAACCTTGAATGCAGACACAGTAAAAGGTGATTTATACTTGATGAGAGGCAATTAGTGCTCTCGTGGATGCTCCCTGTCATTTGCCGCAAACTTCAAAATTAGAAGGATAAAAATGATTGTATGACCACTGACCGTTGGAAACAAGCTCAGAACGATTGACAAGCACTTGAACACAACTGCTATAGCGACGATCCAGGGCAGTTACCATGCACTGTGGATGATACGGCTTGTGGGTGGTTAATGAAGGGTACTGAAAACGAGAGAATATTGTCTGAGTGTTGAAACAAGTGATGAATTTGATGATGATTGATGATGCTTTCAGCTGATAAAGTTATTGGGTTAACATTTCATAATCACACTTTCAATCGAACACTAGCAACAGTCTTAAAGAAGCCATTAAATCAATTGAATGAGAAAAAAATTAAATGAAGAATAAAAACAACAACAATGATAAAAACAAACAAAATATAAACATACGATAAAGAACCGAAAAAAGAGGCGATCATTATCAAACAAGCAGTAATTTAAAAGAGTGCTCGAACAATATCAAATAATCAGTAATGAGAATAAATGAAGCAATTGCGTTGCACTCAACGATATTAACTGTTTGACATACAAGCAATCAAATAGTATCACACCATTTTGACGGAGTGAAAACAAATGGAAAGATGAAACTATTTAGGGTTGATTGAAACAAACGAAAATTTTAAGGTTGTTAAGTAAGAAAGGAAGGTACAAGCAGAGGAGAGAAGATATGCGAGCGAGGAACTGGAGCAAAGAACCACAGAAATAACCTCAGCTCTTTAACTAATCAACAACTAACGAACCTTTTCCTCTTGGATCATACGAGAAGCCAGCTCTTATACTCGCCATTAGTGGCGAATACTCTGCAGCCTTGCCACTCACTACTCTTGTTTGCCTCTTCAATAGCAAAACCCAATATAACCGTTATTCATTCTGTTATCAATTACCATCAACTGCTATCAATATATAATTACAATTTCACAATTCTATTTGCACATTCTAAAATTCAATCCCACGATCTCGCATTCGCAACGAGTTTGTTTCACACCATATGACCATATCAAAAATGATCATTTTGCTCGAGATGAAAATTCAAAAAAAAAATTAATCGGCAAGCCATGAAATTTGATCGAAATCTTATAAACGAAAAAAAAGATGATTCTCACAAATATGTAACTACCCGTTAAAGACACTCATATTTGGAAAACAAATTATAAACAATGATGAGACCCGACGCATATTAAAAACAGGTAATACTGAAGAAGATAAGCGCTCGATAAATGACTACTAACTGATTAACAACTAACAAAAACAGAATATGAGATACAAAACCGCAACAAAATGAGTGATAAAACTGTGAAAATGAATATAATTAACAGCAATAACAATAACATCAAGAACGATCACCACAAGAAACCGAATACTGCATCAATTAATGTCATTCTATCCAGTCTGAGCCAATGACATTTGGCTGCTTGCGTTTAATTATCTTTCTCTGAATGATGAGTGTTATGACGACACCAATAAATGAATAATTGAAGAGAAACGAACCAAAAGTTCCGAAGTGACAGCCGTATTGGACGAGTTCGAATTGAGTGCTTGCTGCTGTGTACGTGTGTATGGTGAGGAACGTTGGAGATTTGATGAAGTGGCAGATGTTGAAGTTTGTTCACGTATACAATCCGGCAGCGATGATGCTCTCCGTTTCGCCCACTTCTTCCAGTCTTTACGCATCTGCAACACAGATATTCAGTCATTTGTTGTTTATGTCCTGATGCCGTTTGCACTCACTCGTTTGCGATATTGCCCGCGTTCAGAAAAACTGTCGTCACGACACAGGATCGTGCTTAATCTTTTCTATTTTTCAAAAAATTTTTTAATCAACACGCTTCAAAATACACTCCTATTGAATTTGCACTATGATCAAAAAAAAANAAAAAAAAACTGACGAGTGGTTCAAGTTGGTTAACATCCCAAAATGCATCGAGTGCTCTATTTTTCCATTTATTTATGAAACAGTTACTTAGCATAAACCTATATGAAATAAGTGGATAGACAGGTAAATAAAGAGATCAGTGCCAAACTGACTCGATCATTAAAAACGACGTGAAATAAAAATATGAATAGTCCTTGAAGAGAGTTCAGAATAGTGAAAGCATATGCCATTACTGTTGACCGCTCATCAATCCATAACAACCCGAATGTCCATGTTAAACCGAGTAAAAATACCAATGCAATTGAGCCCCGCAACCAACTGCTGAAATCAAGGATTTATTACAAAAGTTACAATAGCAATTCATTATGAATTAATTCTTGCTTCTCTCTACTAAATCATTAACAATACCATAAATATTCGCTCGTAAATTCTTCCTCGCTTCTTTTCTCATGTACATCTAAAGAAATTATACCAAAAGATAACGAGCTTCTTCACGAATTTCTAATTTTCATTGATTCTGTGAGTAGAATAAAATAGTAATAAACAAACAAACTAACGAGATGTTATTCAAGTTATTCTCAGTGTTTTGTTTACATGTCCTATATCCAATATTTGAATGTCGACAAACGATGCACAAAGTCATAATGAAAAATGCACAATTACAGATTAATATCACAAGAACGGGAGCAATAAACGATACAATGAAGTAATTATCTGCACGGAGCCAGCAATATCGCTCCGTTCCATAACTATACGGATCCATCCAAAGTGCTATACTAACCACCAATGCTGGACACCCTTCAAACATTGTATATATGTAATAATAACAATGAAATAAATGCTATTCATAAATATCAGCAATAACATCAAAAATAATAAAAACAGACCATAACCAAATAAGTAGAAGTAATGCTTCTTTGAACGACGAGATTGAAACACTTCAATAAGCATATAATACAACTCAAAACCCTCAAGCAACATCCACGAGAACGCACACAGAAATAAATAATGCAACAGAGCCGCAATAATACCACATTGTATCTTGAATATTTTCATTATTATTACTTTTATTATTAATATTATTATTTCGTCAGAAGGCAAATGTGGTCGTGGCAGAGCATATGCTCATATGCTCGTAGTAGGTGGCAGTAGGCGAGATTTGTAATTAATAGTAGTGTCACCAGTAATTTTCGTTGGAGAGCAACTTTTTGGACGGTTGGGGGGAAGGGGTGTGTGACTTTGTCGGGGAGCAAAATGGCCGATGGATGACCCCGAAGTCCGGGAGCGAAATAATCAGGGTGGGACTTCGCGGGGAGGAATTCGTCTGAGATGGGATCTCAACAAAAAAGTCGGGCGGGGGATGGTCCTCGTGGGAAGGGACTGCCGAGAAGCAAAACTGTCGGAGAATCGCTCGTCATTGAGGACTGGAACAGGAGTCCGTTCTCCGACGAACGTTATTCATGAGCCAGTGCTCATCGACATTCCACTCCATTACGTCTACAAAATATTAAACAATAATATATTGCTACCTTATTTTGAGTTTGCCAAATACCAAACAAGAATATGCACTCGGCGCATAACAGTGAAAGTGACAGATTTGCGTGGATTATCAAACGATCCGTGCCGGACTGAGATGCAATGCAAGAGAATGCAATAAACGACAGAAGAAGACACAGAATCGAAAGTGTACACCCGCTGTACGTGATGAACGTTAATGCAACCAAATGCCCATCTGACAACTGAAAGTATTATTAATGAAATCACTGTTATCGCTATGTGTTCGATAAATTCGTTAACGCTGTGGTGCCGGGGCATCGCCTTTCTTTGATAACCGTCTTTGGGCACGAAGACATCAAGCCCGCTTGATCAACTTACCTGACGAATTTTCTGAACAATTAATATAAAAGTATCACAACAATAATAATGATCGTATAAAAATTAATTCAAAGAGTGCTATTCCATACCTGTTGATCATAAATATTCATAATCACTGCAAAATGTGTCAAATGATCACAATAACAAATCGTATGCGTTTCATTGTGTGAATTCATTTCACACCCTCGCGATGACCATTCATAATTTTTATTGTCCCACCATACACACGTTAAAGACGTTTTATTCGTTTTACTATTGTTGTTGTTTTTAGCCTTCTTATTTTCATCAGGATCGTTGAAGGACTTAAGTTTTAATAGTTCATTAATACCGTTATCATTCTGATCAGCAATATTAAATCATAATAGTAACAATAATAGTAATAAATAGAATAAAGAACGAAACCAACTTTGGTTTTGAATGTGAGCACAACGGGTTTACTGAGTCGACTGATTGATTGTATACGATTATTTTTGTTAATAATTGATGCCGAAATAATATTACTAACAATTAAACGATCAATTATAACAGCATTATTATTATTATTGTCATTACCACCATTATTATTTACACTATTCTTGTTCAATTTCTGATTCAATTCAGGATTGTTGGTTCTGTTGCCGTTTGGCAATAACAATAATGGCTTCATATGAGAAGCCATTGCTGAATACATTGAGTATACCACTTTTGCATAAACTGAAATTGTTACTGCATTATAAGTATTGTTGTTGATTATTTGTAGCACATAATAAATATGGATAAGCTACCGTTCACAGTGTTCCGAAGTGACAAAGCTTCTTTTGGCACATCGATTGTATCCAAATTCTTCTTGTAAAGGCTCATACTTGGAAATGTTACATACTCGTGTATTTTCACATTCGATATTTGTACCTCTGCAATTCCTACGAGCATTATTATCATACTAAATAAATAATCACAGCTGATGTTTCATACAATGAGCACATACAAACGTCGCATGAACGTATGTATTTTAGCCGTCTATAAGCCTACGGGTGCACCTGAATTGAAACTAGATCCTGAATTGTGAAGAGAGATTGAGATGTAAAGTTGACTCAAAATTGGTAAAATGAAAAACTGACCAATATTTGGTTTGATAATAGTTCTGGTTGTATCAGAAGTGGTCAATACACTAACAGCACAAGCTATTTTATTGATATTATCCATCAAAGAACTTATCACTCGACGACTCTTCATTATACTCAAATCATTCCAGGCTGATTCTTGTGATGTTTTCGCCATATTGTTCACACTTTCAACAACTAACTGCAATTTTATTAATTATCGCTTAAATTAATTATTCAATAATATTTGCTTTCAACACAGTCCACATTGCATATAACAAATAACAACAAAACTAATAAAATCGAAATACCTCCATCGACAAATCAGCATTAGCTGAATCATCGAAGTTCAGCGGAATCGACTGGTTGATCGCCTTCGAAAGCACAATTAAATCACCGCCCAATAATTCCTCTTTCCTCGTCATTTGTTGAATTTCTCGTAATGTTTCAATACGATCAACTATATCTTCTGCTAGCTCTGCGTCTTCGCTAATTCTTCAATATTACTATTGTTATTATTACCACTATCAGGAGTATTATTTAAATCATTATCGAATGTCAATCGCGGTGTTTTAGAAACAAATCAATTAATTAAGTAAGAAACCACCTCAGAGACCATGAAGAAACACATCTTGACAAATCAGCGCCACGTTTATTCCACTTGCCGTCGAGTTCACATTTCCATTCAGCATAACCACTCGAACCGATTGGACATCCCATTCGTGCCAACTTACCAACTTCGGTCTTCGGCCAGTCGATGTAACGTGACGATATGGCTTCACAGTGTGCTGTTAAGTGTTGTTCGGATGACTTGCTATCGAGGTCGTTCGGTACACTTATTGCATGAGCATGATAAGTGGCATCATTTCCGTTAATATCACTATCCCGAGCATCACTGAGATCATCTCCATTCGGCAATTCTCGCACAGAAGCATCTGGCAATCCGTTTTCATCCATTATTGAACCTTTTGTTGTTGGTGCAGCTACTAAATTTCAATTAGAAATTAATATTAGATCAGCTCAAGATAATTAGATCAACAATTAATCAACAGTAAAAGTAAATACCAGCAGTTAATGTACAATCGTACTGCATATCCAAATACTTTGATGTCTTCGGGCACGCATCACCAAAGTATTCATTACTCACTTCAAAATCGCACTCTGATTTCCCATTACATCTGTCATTTCATAACATGTTATATTCAATAAGCAAATATCGAATTAATACACGATCAGTAATTCTCATTCTATTGCTAATTACTACTCATCAATCGATCTCTAAAACAAACCATCTGTTTCTCTCTCTCATTCAGTTCGAATTATGTATACTCAAATGAACATAATTAATACCAAGATCTGTTCACCTTCTGCATTACCAATAATAATAATAACGATATTAACAGTAATACCTCATACTAATTTCCAATAATAGTAATAATAATGCTAACAACAGCAATAGCAACAATTCTTTGCAACACCTCTCAACGAATTGTATGTGAATGAACAAAGCGGTCAACAGTCCAATGATGCATCAAATGAATTAATAAAAACAAATTATAACCTACTCTAATTGCAAAATTCCAAGAGTTTTATCATTCTGACATGTTGTACTCAACTCAGTGTTAAACGTTGGATTACACTGAGTGATCGTGAAACGACCATAATTCGCCAGTCGAATCGCAATAAACCTACCCTCTGTGCAACTTATATTCGCATGCTTACCTTCACATATTATCACTTGTTCTGAAATTAAACTTCTTTTGCACAACATACAGATATACAAATCAACTTCAGCTACCGGACTAGACCTTTGCTTAGCTCAGCGGTCCTCTTAGAGGGTAATTCTTCCTTCAGGAGGTATATGAGGATGTGAAGGATGGATTTTTACGAAGCTGAGAAATTAGTGTTGATCAGATTTTTTCACAATGCTATCACGTTTCTCCAAAATGCTTGTTTGACTACAATAAACTGAATCCTTTAGTAAAGTCGACGAATTCTCGGTAGGAAACTTCTTGAACAATCGCCTAAAACATCGTCTTCTTATCCACATGGATTAGTCCTACTTTTAGGCTTACGATTAGACTTATGCTCCGATGAGATCAGAAGTGCGATGGGTCGGATGTCTTTCCCAGATGTTTGTCTATACAAATCTAGTTTCAACGAGGAAGACATAATCCGTTGAATAAATAACTTGCTACTAAAACAATTTCTGATTCACTTCATTCTTTCAACATGCCGACTGACCGACTGCTTACTTGAACAACAACAGTATCACTTCAAATATAAACGCTAATATAAACATGCACCAATTATCAAACCATATTAAGTGCGTTCTACTTCCACTCGTAAGATCAAAACACTCATAAGATCAAATCATCATAACAACAATACATTAACAAAAGTATTCTGACAAAAGTCTTAAATTTTGAGATGCTGAAAACAATCTGTGGAATTCAAGAAAAGATCTCTGGAGAAAGTAGCTGAATAAATGCTTTAAAATATATACTCACACAAAAACAAACATTCGCATTGCATCACTCTGCACAATTCCTCTTATTATTTTTTAGTGGAAGCTTGAACAAATGTTTTGGCAAAGGAATTGTATTCATAAACCACTTTGATAATTACGGGAAAAGGAAATGTGATAGCAACCATGAGAAATAATCGAAGTGATGAAATGAAACAAATTCAACAATCAAAAATGGAACTTACTTGTCATCTCATTATGATTACTAATATTAACAGGATCAGTTTTATCGTTGAATGCAGCAGCAACAGCCATCCACATAATCATAATAATAAACGAATAATAATACCCATAATAACTATGACAGTAATAATTCCTCTTCATTGCCACTGATAATTAACAGTTACTACCGTAATGTTGACATTTAATGATCGTTGTCGTTGAGTGACTGAATATTCACTCACTTCTGAAACACTGCATGTAGATCACCTTTACAAATGACCACCTTTCAACTTGCCCAATCAATTCAATATGATTCTCGTAAGATATATATATATATATATATAT